GGCGTTTGTGTCTGGATTCTGATCTATTTCTTCTGGCGATGTTTCATGTAGTTCAGAATTTGGATGTTTATTTGATTTTTCATCACTTGAGTTCATATTGTCTGTGTCTTCATTTTCAATAAATAAGGAAATCTTATCTTCATAGGGTCCTTCTTTGGTCAATTTGAAAAGGAACACATCTTCTTCAAAGAGCACATCTCTGCTGATAAAAAACTTTTTTCTTTCTGGATCCCAGAGTTTATATCCTTTGATACCACTTGGGTACCCAATATGGATACATTCTATAGCCTTTGGGTCAAATTTGTTCCACCTTTGAAATGAGCGTGTATGGCTCCAGGCCCGACATCCAAAAACTTTCAAGTGATCCAAGTTCGTTTCTTTACCTGACCATATCTTTTCTGGCGCACTTCTTCCAATTGCAGTAGATGGGCGTCTATTTCGGAGATAAGATGCTGTGCACACAGCTTCAGCCCAGAATTCTGGCTTTGCTCCTGATTCTATGAGAAGGCATCTGGTAATGTTCATCAAAGTCTGGTTCATCCTTTCTGAAATTCCATTTTGCTGAGGGGATTCCGGCACAGTTAGCTGCCTTTGAATTCCATGTTTAATAAGATAGTTGTCAAAGTTTTGTGACTTAAACTCACCTCCATTATCACTTCTCAAAATTTTTATCTTTTTACTGTGAAAATTTTCAGCCATTCTCTTGTATTCATCAAACTTCACTATGACTTCATCTTTAGTTTTGATTGGATACACTGTAGAGTAACGAGAAAAATCATCGGTGAACAGAGCAAAGTAATTTGAGCCTCCCAGTGACGGCGGTGAAATCTTTCCGACTACATCAGAGTGCACAACTTCTAAAGTTTCATTAGCTCGTGTGTTTGAGATTTTTGGAAACTTCTTGCGCTTCATCTTTCCTTGAATGCACACAGAGCGTGGCTTGTTTGTTTCAAGACTGGATTCCTGTTTACTTTTGGTAGTTATTATGTTTCTCAAAGTGCCTGGGGAAGGGTGTCCTAGCCTGCGATGCCAGAGTCCATTCGACTGGATCGTTGAAATGTACGCTGCAGGACAATCTTCTTCTATAATATATAGTCTTCCCTGTCTTCTAGCTCTCAAAACAATTTCACCAGTTTCTGTCAGTATTTTTGCTTCCCCATGTGCAAATTCAATCTTAAAACCTTTTTCTTCAATCCCGCCAATCGACAGCAAATTTCCGCCCAAGTCTGGTACATACAATACATTTTCAAGGTTAATGTTGCTGCTGGTAGAATCTTCTTGAACTGAAATAGTGATGTTTCCTGTTCCGGTAACTTGAACTTTTTCAGAATTCGCCACTTCTACAACTGAGGTATAATCAGTTAGTGATTTGAATTTCTTTCTGTGTGCTCTGTAGCACCACTGTCTAGAATCCAGATTGTTGAGTCTTCAGCTTTAAATTTATTTGTTAATAAGGCCCAGTTCGTTTTAAAATCTATAGCAGTCTTGGCACTGCTTTGATTTCTTTGTTGTGCTTCTTCACAGTTTTTGGAAATGTGACCCCCTTCTCCGCAGCTAAAACACCTGACAGTTTTCTTCGAATTTGCAGCTGTTTCGCTGTTTCTTTTTGTTGTCCATTTCTTCACAGTGTTTGTCTGCATTGGTCTTTTTTGATTATAGTTTCTTGTGTGAAGTGCCCGTTCTTCCTGCTCTTCAACATTTGGCACATTTCTATATATTCTTTTTTCTTCAACTAATAGTCTAGACTTCATAATGGTTGTTGTCAAGTTATCTTCGTCCTTTTCTAAGTTCAGGATTAAGCTTTCGTATGATTTTGGCAGACCTATTAACATGATGAGCGCAACTTCTCTGTCGGTGAAAGCGTAACCACCACTCGGCAATTTTCGGCGTATTTCAATCAATCTGGTCAAATATGATTGAATTGTTTCACCAGACTTCAAGGTAATGTTAAAAAAGTCCTTCATTAATTGTAAAACATGCAGTAAGCCAAATTTGGTATGCATATCCTTCAATACAATCCATGCGTCCCTCGCTTTGGCGCAGTCGCCAATATCATCCAAAAACGTATCTTCTACAATCAAGAACATTAGAGTTAAAGCTTCATCATTTTTCTTTCTCTCATTTTCGGACATTTCAGCAAGTCCATAGCCAGGCTCAACTGCCTCCCAGCATTTCTTCTGCACCATCAGTGCACGGGCACGTATTGCCCATGCATGATAATTTTCGCCGTTCAACTTCTTCAATTTGTATTCTTCCATAGCGGCGATTATTATTGTGCTGCCTATCTTCTTAGATCCGAATTTCTAAT